GATGAATAAATTCTGTATATCTAATATACAGCAAGATGACAACAGTTAATAATACTGTATTACATACTTGAAATTTTCTAATTAAGTTTCAATCTAGTTAGAAATTTTCTCACCACACACATATATGTTAAAGGATAACTATGTAGGCGTGTTGAGTTATTTGGCTTGATTTTGGTGATCTTTTCATATTATACACCTATATATAACAACATGAAATTGTACACTTTAATACATAAAATTTCTATATGTCAAATATATCTCAATTAAGTTGTCTTAAAAAAGACACAAAGAGTAATTCTCAGATTAGCCTAAGCCCCAGCCCAGGTGGACTTCTTTCTAGGGAGAGAAGCTATGACTTAAAGAATAAAATTAAACATCATAAATTTTTATTTCTTGGCTATGTCAACATGTACATGATGTTTCAACTCTAGATCTGTTTTCCCCTATGGCATGGAAAATGTTGAAGAGTACATGATAAATTTCACTGGGCTGGGGCACCTTTAGAGTGCACTAGAGGTAGGGCTAGAATATCACACATACGTCTGGGCAAGTTGACTAACAGTGGTTGTGCTGTCTGAACAGGGAAGCAGACTTTTCAGTAATGAACCAGAGGAAGAGAGAAGGAAAATATCTAATATCAGGTGGAAACCAAACAGTATTTTGTTCTTAAATACACGAAAGATGGTTCTTGGACTTTTTTAGACAACTTGGGTTGAAGAGGTGAATAATTAGGGTTTGAATAGGAATTGCAGTTCCTACAGTTGGTGGATTACATGCATACTGTGGTTATAAGTTTACTCAAGGTAAATTTAGGTGTGTGAATTAGCCAGAGTTCTCTAGAAAAACAGAACTAATAGGATGTATATAGGTAGACAGATTTTAAGGAATTGACTTGGTGAATCCATAATATGGTAGGGTAAGCAAGCATCCAGGAGGCTCAGGGAATAGTTGTAATTTGTAGTTCTAGTCCAAAGGCCATATGCTAGCCAAATTCATCCTTGCTCGTGCTTGGGAGGCCAGTCTTTGTTCCATTAAGGCCTGCAACTGATTATATGAGGCCCACCCATATTATGGAGGGTAATCTGCTTTACTCCAAGTCCACAGATTTAAATGTCAATCCCATCCAAAACACACCTTCCCAGAAATATCCTAAATAATGTTTCACCAAATATCTGGATGCCCTGACCCAACTAAGTTGACAAATAAAATAATCTTCACACTGTTGAAATATATGCCTCTGAACTCCTATTAAAGATATTTTTCTCATGAGCCTTTTAACTAAAGAAGCTAGAAAGATATTCAATTTGGCTCATTTTATTTAAAAAATGGGTAATTCTTTGACAAAAGTGTTTAATATTTCCTATTCTCTGCTCTCTGCTACAACAGCACAAGAGTGCTTGTTTGAACTCATCACACTAAGGAAGAGAATGGCATCTGTATTTGCTTTTATTGCTGCTCTAACAAACTACCACAAAATTGGTGGTTTAAAACAAAATACATTTATCTCAAAGTACTGGAGATCAGAAGTCTGAGATGGTCCCTACAAGCCAAAACCAAGGTGTCAGCCGGTCACTTCCTTCTCAAAATAACAGAAATTTGGTGGCTTAGAACAAAATAAATGTAAAGTTCTGGAGGTCAGAAGTGAAATGGGTCTTACTAGCCAAAATCAAGGTGTCAGCTGGTCACTTTCCTTCTGGCAGCTCTAAGGAGAAAAATCCATTTGCTTGCCTTTCCCAGCACTTCTTGGACCCTCCCACCAACTTCAAAGTGCATCATTCCAGCCAGAGGTCTGGTTCTGCCACCACATCTCTTTCTCTGACTGTAATCCTCCTGCTCCCCTCTCAGAAGGGTCTTGTGATTGTATTTGTTCTATCCTGATAATCTTGGATAATCTCCCCTTTTTAAGATCCTTAATTCATTATCATCTTCAAAGTTCCTTTTGCCATGTAAGGTGACACAGTTCTCAGGGATTTGGGGGGAAAGTATTTAGCCAACTGCATCATTCTACATAGGCAGGTCCTTGTACTATCTTCTGAATCCATTCGTCATACATATAACCAGGGATGTGATGGAGCCTTGCATTGGCTCATTAGAACCAAATGTATGCAGTTCTTCCCTATCCTGTGTTGTGATGTCAGGTTAGTAACTTGAAACCAGCCATGGTGGGAAAGATGTAAATGTTACATATCATGGCTTTTATTTTCTGAAGAGCCAGATTTAAATATTCACTAACAAGACTACTGCATTCAACCATTTTCTACATGGTTGTCGGGCTCCCTGCTGATGTTCAATGTACAAAACTGGCTGGTGAATTCATGTTTCTTTAGTGCTTGGGGAATGCTCCCATAGAGAATGAGCTACATCCCCTCTACTGACTGAGCCCTGGTTCTCTTCTCTTTGGTACCATGGTCCCCTTTGAGTCCAGTTGGGGCTCCCTTTACTTGCTGGACCCAACCTGTAGCCATTGCCCACAGGGCCAGTTGTTCTTTGAGGCCATAACCGCATCAGGCAACCTCACAGCCAAGGCCAGCTTCATGACCCTGTGACCTGTACATTCATACAGAGCCCCACACTCAATATGGTGATAGATCTGGTTTAATGCTCTACTGTCATATCATAAGTTTAATAGATTTTGAACAACTGACCATGCATTTTCATTTTGACTGGGCCCTACAAATTATGTGGCTGGCCCTGCTCATAATCAGCATCTTCAGCTGTATATTCACAAGAACTTCTGGATGCATTTACCTCCACACCATGTGGGAGACATACCAGTGTTAATGGCCATCTAAATGTGCTAATCATGGTATCACTCTCTCTGTTGATTCAAATGTTCCCATTTGGACAATTCTGTCTCTTTAGTTTAAATATTCAGTTTCTCAGCTTAATCTCTGTTTCCTCTGCTCCCTTCCAGGAAGGTTTTTGGTATTGGAGCAAGTTTTATTTGAACAAATATGGAGAAAGATAATTCTGATCTCATAATGCTGGTCCTTGTGAACACGCCAGCTGACATTTACCAGCGTATGGTCGGTTGGGTGCCTGTCCCACGTATTCTGTAGTGTAAACTGCTCAAGTCCTGTTTGTATTCCTGAAGCTCCTTTCATTTCCATCTAGACTAGAACCAGGATATCTGCCTTGCTGAGCCAACCTTATATTGATTTCTGTGAATGCTGCAAACCACTTTTAGTTACTTCTATATCAACAAATCAATCCCCCATCCAGGATGTCGGCTTTCCTTGCCCCTTATCATGCCAGGCCCCACAGCAACTCAACTTAACTACATAGGGCTTCACCAGGTCAGAAAACGGGAATGCATGAGTCTCGCTTCTCCACCAGAAGGGAACTGAGCAAAGCTCTAGTGTGCAACCTACGCTTTCCTTTTCTGATCTCTTTACTTGGCAGAATCTCTCTAAAGTAGAATTATTCTGGGGTCCTAAATGGAATATGAACCAAGAAGCTCCTTTAGACCCTGGTGTTTCTATAAATCCCGCTAATATATTAAAGCTTTCTGAGTTTTCTTACTTCCTGTTTTCTCCTATATTTGCTCCCTTTTTAGCTTTAACTCCTCCCCAAATCACATAGGATAAACAAATATCTGCAATTGATCATTATAGCAAATAACTCAGGAATATTTTTGATAACATTACTCTGCTTTAAATTTGAAATTCTCCAACTGTTAGATGCCTAACACCCTATCTCCATAGGAAACAAAGAGCATTCCTCTCCCACAGGTGTTAAAAGAAATACGGTTTTGGTTTATAAAATTTGATCACAGTTAAACCTCAAAGAAATTAATATGAAAGCATACAATATTTGTTGGTGAGCTTTTATCCTAAGTTAATAAAGACAGTTATTAAATAGTATAACAGGGAAAAAGCAGGGTATTAAGCATCACTGAATAAATCAATCTTAGTGTGTGATGGACCACGACAATATTGTCGATAATATGTTAAAGAAATCATTTCAGAATCAGGCACATAGGATGTAGGAGTCTCCACATTGATTCTTTGTTTACATTTCAGAAATATAATAGAATCAAAAGAGGCCCAATGCTCATATTAGTGAGAATATTCTACATTATTAAGATAGTCTGAAATAAAAATATTATTAAGGAAGTTCTACTTAAGAAGTAAGGAAAAATATTTTATAGAAGCAGGGATTTTAAAAAATCCTGATAGCAGGGATCACAAACATTGAGACATTTTCATTAGTTATGTTGGCCAATGGGGTCCTTGACTGGCTGAGTAAATAAAATGTGTCTGACAGGATTATAATCATAATTTAATATTGATTGAGTACCTGTAAGATATGTTAGGTTTTCTGACATTAGTCTCATACAGTGCCTCAAACTTAGTCACTTCTGACATAAAGATTTAAGTAATGAAGAGAAAATGTTCCTACATTCATAAAATTGTGACTTTTGTGTGTTTAAAAAATGGATTTTAAAAGTAGAACAACTAAATATAATTCTAAACCTCTTATTGTCTTGATAAAAAGTGATGGCAGCAGTGATTCCTCAATTTTTTGTTGAAATAAAATAAGAGTAATATACTTTATTGTTAACATTTTTTCAATTTGGGTCCCCTTTACATTTAATAATGAATGAATTAAACATAAGTAAAGGTAACGGTATTCAAAAACGTATTCAGATACTCCAGGGTAAAAATCAGTTCATCAAGTACAGACCTTGAATTTCAGAAAGTCAATGAAATAAAAAGAAAAACACTAAAGACCCCTTGTCCCAGTAACTCCCTCAGGCTCAAGATATCCTGGCTGTAGGGACTCCAGCAAGTATGTGACTGCTACAGGAAAAGTGTAAAAGAAATGATAGAATACATGGTATCAATATACAGTGGTAATGGTGCAATGAGTATGTATCAAGTGAAACATATAAATGTAGTTCTGGGGGAAAAAATGACTTACCACCCTGTGAAGACAACATCCTCAACACATGAAGATATAAAAAGATAAAACAAAACTATAGAAAATATTGAAGGAATATTTTTGGATATATTGAAAAATGCTGAAGGAAGGAGGGTTAAGTATACACACTTGGACACTCTTTAATGATGAAGTTGTAAAATTTTATGGTCAAATTGCCAATCAAAAGAGCAATACCAGATGCAAACTGTGGTGTAAGCCTTGTGCTCCTGCACAGATGGGTTATCTGATCCTCCAATTACCTCTCAGGCTCAGGCCTGCTTAAACCACAAGAACTAGATTTAGAGGGAAGTAGCCATTTGGTTTCATGACTTGTAGATATTTGAGGGTACCTAAAACATCACTGAAAATACAACAGGAAGAAAACACTTTGATTAGTATCTTAGGCTTGCAATTAGCCTCTCCCCAGCAAATGTTAAAATAAAAACAGATGTTCATTCAAGGGCCCTGATATCAGAGATTTTATTGCTGACACAGTATGCACATTAGGCCATGGGCATCTCATTCCTCTTCTTCTTCTTCCTCTACCCCTTTTTGATTTTCTATTTCTTCTCACTAAATATTACAGGGGAATCCTAATTAAAGGATGGTGGAATGTATATCCACGGAATATGAATCTTAAAAAAAGCACTCAGGCGTGATTCTGAATCAAGCCATCTAAACACCAACATGTAGAGAAACACTGTATTAACCTCTCAGAATCTGATTCTACTTTCCCCACTTCACTGAAGTAATTTCTTAAAGATAACCTGCCATTTTACACTTTCCAGATCTCCAGTATAGGTTGTGTTTCTTGATCTCTCTGATGATAGCCTGCAGTACCCTCTGGTTAATTGCTTCCTTTTTCTGAAACTTTCCTTCTTTGGTTTCTGAACCTCAGAGCAATCCTATTTGTTCTTCAGGCTTGAGAGGTGATGTAACAAATGCTATGACTGAGGGCTTGGATGCTAGAGCCAGCTTGCCAGGGTTCAGGGTTTAGCTCCACTTCTCTCAAATTCCCTTACCTTTCAAATTGGTTTACTAACTCTTCATAATGGATACTAATAGCCACACTAACTCACTAAAAATACGACTGAGTCAATACACATAAAGTTATTAGAATAATACCTAGAACAAAGTAGACGCACAACAAATTTATTTATCCCTTTACTTCTGACACCTTCATTACCTCCTTACATCCTTAGTGTATACTTTGTCTTCCTTCTACATGACAAGAATTAGTTTTAAGGTTGCTTCCCCTTTTCTTCTTTCTTCTGCTATTTTGTAACTCCCTAAACTGTAGCTATTCTATCGGTTAGGGTAAACCCATGTCTTATTAATACAAACTGAGTAAGTACACAGGTCAAGTTATCATCTTTGTTATTCACCCTACAATCATCTCTTCCTGTGCTCAATTTCTGAACATCAACCACACGACTCTAGACTAATGCAATAGCAGCCACATCGCATATAAAAAGGGTAATAATTAGAATCTTGTTAATTCCTCATTCAGGCTGTATTCACTACTTTATTCCTCCTGCAGTTATGTATTTTGCACCAATTCTCTTTGTTAGAAGGTATTCTTCTTGGGAAATGGGAAATACGAATTGTTCATCAGAATTACTAAATCATATAGGAGTGTTTGTTTAATTCATTAAGGAAATTAAATATTCTTATATTAATTCTGCTTTTATTCTCCTTTTGAAAATATAGTCTTTTTACCTCTTACTTGCTGATTAGTTCACACAATTCTGTCACTAAAGTAAAGTTTTGAAGTACAAAAAAAAAAGTGATTTCAAATTTTTCTATTACCCACGCTAAACAAAGAATGAAAGTAAAATTTATGAATAATTTTATTTACCCCAAGTATCCAAAATAATATCAATTCAACATGCAAAATCATTATTTTAAAAATCAAGATATTTTACATTCTCTTTCTTTGTATTGTCTTTGAAAGCTCATTGTGTATTTTTTTACAAAAACTTTAGAGTTTACCCCAAATCAGACTAGCTACATTTTAAGTGCTCAAGAGCCACATGTAGCTAGTGGCTACTATATTGATTGGACAAAGCAAATCTGATGTAAGAGATTAGAGCTTAGGATACAAAGATTGGTTTGGATACCTCTTTAATTATTATGCTTCACTGAACATTGTTTTCTGCTCTAATATTATTATATTAAAATATAAGCACTGCATTTTTTCATTCACCCACCTACATCTGTGAAATGGTAATAATCTTTGCTCTTTCTACTTCCTATAACTATTGTGAAAATCAAATGAGTTGATTAGCATGGGTAGACCTGTACTACAATGAGTTATGAAATGGGTAAACCCTTAAATTTTCCTGAAGAGTTCTACAATAAGAATGTATTATTATAAACAGAAAAAAAATATTTGAAATGAAACAAGTTGGTAAATACTGACTTAAGGAAATAAAATGAGGAAAAATAACAAGAAAACATATATTCTAACCTGTTAGTACTGTAGATACTTCAAACAAGACAGCATTCTGATTTATACATTAACCTGTTGTATAATTTTTTAATTCATTGAACCTGCACAAAATCCCAAGTTATTCAGCTTTCTCACCAATTAAAAAAAAAAGGTTGGAAGTTTTAAAAGGTATCAGTATGGTACTTACCTGCTTATAGCTCTATTACGGCTCCTTTTTCTTCGTCTCTCAAAGTGTTCATCTTCAGAAGACGAAGATGAAGTAGAGTCACTACTATGGATTGCATGCCTTCGCCTAAAGAGGAAAAATGAAATTATGATGAAAGAGGGAAGGAAAAAGAGGCATAGAATGTAAACATCATAAATACCTAATGTTCCAAAAAGTTTTATCATAGAATACATTTGCTGAATGAATGAAGTAAACTCTATTGACTGAATCTTTTGAAAAAAAGATAGAAGGCTGAGGCAGACTGACCATAAAATGTTCATTAACATACGGTCCAGACAGAATGACTTCTTAATCTTTATATAAATCAGTTATCCTAAAAGAGAAAGGTGGGATACAGAGGATATACTCTTTGGGACTATAATTAGAGAAATTATTTTCAAAATTTTACTATATATAGTATCACATTTGGAAGGGAATCCCTGATTTTGAAATGTCAAAAACCTTAAAAGGAAAACATGAGAATTTGTAAGTAAACCAAAGGGGAACCTTTGGCTAAAAAAAAAAATGCTAGGGAATAGCAAGGAGTAAGATGGGCTTTTATCCACAGTATCATCACCTGTAATTTACTGTCACTTAACAGCTATGTAAATGTAGATGAGTTACCCAATCCACAATAGCCTCAATTTTCTCACAAAACAATATAAAAATATTAAATTATTAGGCTGGTTGTATTAAATAAGATGCCAAGTGCTACAAATATTCAAAAAAAATTTTACTCACTTCTACCTTTGGACAGTTGCAAAAGAAATACACAAAAAACAGAGATTCAACTTGGGAACACCTTTAATCATTCTATTGGCAGGGTCTAGAGCTTTTCCTGAATCAGTGAAATTATGCTAGGTAGTTATTTCGAAAAATATAAAAGATTTCACAATCTAGATTATCTGTAAAATGTAGGTACAGAATCTTATACCTAAAAAACCTGAAAATAAGCTTTTCCATTATTTACTTGTTGCAGGTAGCCTTTGTAAATCCCCCCAGAAAACCACCTGAATCTGGAAACACAAATGGCCCCAAGCATTTTGGTTAAGGGTTGTGGAAACAGACTTAAGTGATAAAATAATCTTCAACCACCAACCTACACAAACATGCCCAAGACTGTTTTTGTGATCAGCCTGAAACTAAAACTACCTAGTAGATGTCTGCAATTATATGAAAAGCTAACTTATTTAATATTACCACTAATATTGCAAGGAAACTCTAACTTACAGTCACATAATTCACATAACTATGTTAATTCTGTAAGTATTCAAATAATTAAGACTAACTTCATAATTAATAAAAGGGAAGGACTGACATTTACTAAGTGCTTCTTATAGCAGCTGGTTGATATGTTATTTCATTTGATCTTATTTAAAACTTTGGACAAGTACCTACTAGTAGGCTCATTTTACCCTATTTGGGGCCCATAGTTTAACTTGCTCAAAATGTTGGAAATAGTTAATGATGGTGTCAGAAATTCAACCCTTTGTCTATTCCAACAATCTACGTTCTAAATACACTACTACAGTAATGATTTCCAGTTATTTCACAAAAAAATGAAATTATAAGCAGACAGCAAAACATTGTAGACTAATATGTTTCCCAACTCTGGATTTACAAGGTAGGGATATTTTTTTCCTCTATAAAATAAAACACAAGTTATACAATTCATTTAATGACAACTGGTTATTATCAAATAAGCAATGGTTATCTTCAAAAGTGATTACTAGCTATACTATTCATTTCTCTACTTTGATCAGATACCTAGTCACAGATACTTCCCATGTAAGATGCATTATATAAATCAGACTTAGTTTATCACCAGCATTCATAAAACAAGACCTAGGTAAAGAACTAAGTCTGGGGACACATGCATGTTCTTAATATAATGAATGTTTAGTCTGCCCTTATTATTACAAAATCAGAATAGTGAGAGTATTAGAAAGTAGGAATTATTTTTAAACATTATAGTTACAATAATAAACACATATAACATTTAGTATGTGCCAGATACTATTTTAAATGCTTTACATGCAATAACTCATCTAGTTCTCACAATACTGTGAGACAGGTGCTATTATCCCTATACTACACACACACACACACACACACACACACACATTCACTCTTTCCCCCCCCATTTTACTAAAAACTTTGAAAAAATTAGCATGGACAAGCTCTTTGAACCTAACTAGTCTCTAGAGTTGCCAGTTCCAGTTTCCTAACAACAGGTAAGGAATACTTTGGAATACTGGTGAAGCAATTATGCTATTATGTTACTTTCTTGTTCAAAAGGGCTAGGCTTATTCCAGAAATGACAGACTGAAGCTTACATGAGTAAAGGAAGGCAATCATAAGGACTAAAGAAAATCCTGCTTAAAGGCAGTATTCCTGAAACTTCACTATGGTTAAGTATGCCAAAAGATCCTTGGAAGATCCTGTACTCTGGTTGCAAGGTTTCTTGACCATTTGCCATGGATACTAAGAGCAAAGTTCAAATGATTTCTTTGGATGTGTGCTTTGTTTCCATGCCTAGCTGAAGCAAGACATGAACTATTAACAGGTGCTGGTCTTCTCAGGAAAAAGTAAAAAGGCTAAGCAAAATGATTATCATTAAGGTTGTGAGTAGGGATGAGATATTCACACCACCTTGGTAAAAATATAAAACAAACAAACAAAAATATAAAGGGCTACATACATGGAAAAGATTAGATAACAGCAAGTGTTAGTAAAGATGTAGAGAAATTGGAACTCTCATATATATTGCTTGTGGTAATGTAAAATGGAGCAGCCATTTTGAAAATAATTTGGCAATTCCTTGAAATGTTAAATACAATCAGCATTTGACTTAGCAATTCTATTTCTAGGTATATATCCAAGAGAAATGAAAACACATGTCCACACAAAAGGTTATACACTAATACACATAGTAGCATTTTTCATAATAGCCAAAAAAGTGTAAAAAACCCAAGTGTTCACCAACTGATAAATGGATAAACAAAATAAGGTATATTTATACAACAGAATCTTATTTGGCAATAAAAAGGAAAGATGGACCACAGTAGAGGGGGTGAGGATTTAATAGTATGGGTAATTGTTGAACCAGTGTGTTGTATATTTGAAATCAACATAAGATTGTATATCAATGATATTTCAATTAAAAATAAATGTGACTCTGAGTACAGCTTAAATCTCTTAGTTCATACTTTAAATGTGTCAGAATTCTTCACTAGTCCCAAGGCCAGGAATCCTGGCTTGGTTTTATATCCATAGTGCTTGGGGCAAGGTAGTACTCAAACATTTGTGGCATAATTGGAGGGGAAAAATGTCCTGTACCCAAGGAACTATGCAACAATGTGAGACACTTTCCACAGGGAAAGGGGAGACTCTGTGAACCAAATATGGCAACTTGAGCACCAAAGCGGCAAAAAAAATTTCTACCTGCTACAAGACACAATGTAGATAGTGACTGAAAGGTAGTCATTCAACAAAAATTCTACTTCCAGAAACAGAAACCCATTAAAGATGGGAGAAGAAATTAACTCTCAAAGTAATGGTCCGTCCCTTAATTTACCAGATTACCCAGATGGCTGGCCTTATGCCCTACCTATGTTTGGTGTGGTTTCCTGGGAGCATTATACCTTAATCTCCTATTCTGCAGATCTTTAAATTTCACTACCAAAGTATCAGTCTTTAAGAATATTCTAAGGGGCCTATGAAAATTGATGATACTGTGGCCTCCTTTCAAATGCAATTTATCTTGGGCAGCCCTGACAAGTTACTTTCCTGATCCTCTATCCTTCTGGGCTCTGGTTGTGTGAAGAGATGATGAAACAAGAAATCTAGAATGAACATTTGTGATTCTGACACTCTGAAAATAAATTTAAGATGCAGGGACACAAGTAGAATTTCCTATTTTTCTTAGGAGAGGAATTTTTCAACACCTACAATCAAACAGTGGGATAGTCCTCTCAGAATTCTTCCAAAAACTGTTCAAATAGTTGAAGTCACACAGGACTTCATCCTTACTCTGAGAAATTAACAGTCTTAAGAAAAAATAAAGATTTCCCACACCATGTTATATTTTCTGCTGCCTTTTTTAGGCTTTATGAACAAGCTCTCTCATTTCGAACTACTACAATGCTACCAGTATCTGGAAAGTTCCAATGAATCAGAAAACGTTTTATTAGTTGGGAGAATAAGGAGATAAAACAAAAACTTAACCTGTTTTGACTTAAGTATAACAGACAAGCAACAATTGTTAGAATGTAGAAAGAAAGGAAACCCACAAATAATTTGAACTAAAAAAACTGTTTCATACTATGTAAGAGAAATAAATTTAAAAAAAAAAGATAAGGAATGGTCAGAATCATAACAATTCTAGGAACTATGTAACTTATGTACATAATGTTTATCATGGTAGAACATGTCTGTAATAGTATGTGAAGACAAAATTAAATCTATACTTGGTGTGAAGATTAAATGAAACAGTCTATGTAAAATGCTTAACACCAAGCAAGAAATATAGTAAACACTGAAGCAAAAGTAGCTCTCTAGTATTAAAGTGGGGAACAGTGAAATAAACTACCTTACCATGGTAGTTATTTATTTTACTAATGAAAGCAAAAGTAAAAACTACTCAGTGGTAGTGGGGATTAGAGCACTAAACACATAGAGATAACTCTCCCAAATTTTCACTTCTAGAATTTTATTCTTGATACACTCAATTCTAAGACTCTAGAATCCTACTCTAATATAGCCACAACTGTGTTGTCATAAATCAATCACTATTTAAGAACCAAACCTGTTCATTCGTTTACAGTAAGGACTTCTTGGTCCCACAGAAGATAATCGATATCTTGGTCTTGTTGGAGAAGCCGGGCTGCTATAAAATATATTGGGCTTTCTCTGGTGACGAGGTTCTTTAAGAAAAAAATTATATATTTATGATTTAAAAATATACATGAAGATAATTTGCTCTCTATCTGAATATTTACAAAGGTGCTGTCTTCCATGAAAATACTAGTACATATCCACTATAGATTATCTTACTATTTATTATTGCATCATTTACGTCCACAGAGTTGCTACTGAAAATATGTACAGCATAGAGACTAACATACACTGGCCATGAACAACCATTATGATTATATTGATGTATAACAGTTGATTATCAGCTCTCATGTATACGCTCATAAGTAGTGAGGCACAATTACACATGAGCCAAAAGCTGTCCTATTTATACAACCTGACAAAATAAATTAAGTAGAAAACTATGAAATCTAAAATAAAGACACACATGGAATTTCAAAATAGCCCAATTATTTGCTTTGGTCAAGTCTAACATTTAACTTTCTTAGGAAGAAATGACTTCTTGAACATTTAGGATATGAATGTCAATAGCCATTTCCACAAAATGAAAACATCAAAAATAGAATAACAGAGGGAGGACAGTAAAGGAAGGTAACATAATTACATCTTTTCCTGGGAAAGAAATATACAGTGCTTACTTTCCAATGGAGCCTGGTAGTAAACAGTAGCTTTTCTTTGTCTAAGATAATATCGTTTCTGATTATCTTCTTCTCCGTCTTCTTCATCGTCATCATCGTCATCTTCTTCATCTTCTTGGTCTTCACCCTCTTCAGATGACTCTATAGTTAAGAGACATTTACTTTCAGGATCCTCACCAAAATGTTAGGATTTTTAATACAGAGTAATTGAGAGAGAAAAGGCCTCCTTTAAAAATGTCTAGGTTGCTCATATAATTTGTACTTCTCTTCCAATACTGAATGAATATATCAAAAAAATTAAGTAAAAAATTGTAGACTTAAAAATAACTAAAGAATAGGATTCAAGATGGCAGCCTGAGAGGTAGACAGAGAACTCCCCCCAAAACCACAAATAGTACGAAAATATACTTAATACAACTAACCCTAAAACAGCAGCAGGAAAGAAGGCTGCAGCAGACTGCATACAGACCTCACGAACAGAGCAGGCCTCACAAAACAAGGTAATGTATAACGTACCAAAGCCTTATTCCGGCAGGACCCAGGCCCTTCCCCCACCCCCAGCTCACCAGTGGGAGGAAGAGAAAGAGTGGGGAGGGGGTGGAAGCCTGAAATGGCTGAACACCTAGCCCTGGAGATCTGCTTGGCGAGCAGAAACCTATATTGCGTGGTGCTCTGGAGGTTCGGGAGCTGGAACAGGCCAGAGTGCTTGAGAGACTGAGATTCTGGCCGTTTGTGGAAGAAGGGATCCACATCTGGCCGCTCTGGGACAAAGGAAAGGCAGGTGGTCTGAGAGGCTTCCTAGCAGTGAGAGGGCTGCTGAAGGAGCAGGGTTTGCACAGAGCTTGCTACACAGGAGAAGGGAGAGCTGGACAAGATTATCGGGGAGTGCTCAGCCCAGCAGGTTGGGAACTTTGAGGAGCTTCAGGTGCTCATTCCCCTGGATGGCTCCTCAGCTCTGAGGCCCTCCACTGTGGCATGGAGCCAGCTGAGCCTTCTTCCTGGCCTAACAGCACCAGCTTGCAAATCAGCAATCACAACACTGGCACCAGGCTAGCCAGAGAGACGCCCCACCTACAACAGCTAGAGACACAAAGCACAGAGGCTTACACTAGTATGTATGTTCAGCCCACTAGCTCTGATACTGGAGACAGGCACCGCAGAAAAGAATCAGGAAACAGATTTTTCTTCCCCCCAGGCACCAGCTCCACTCCCCTATGACCCCCAACCTCACTCTAAAGGCTGAGCAGCTGTAGAGACAGGAGTTTCTAGGTACTAGAGGGCACCACACAGAACTTAGATCAGACCAAAATTTCACAAACCCCAGAAAAAGGGCCAAATGAAATTGAACTCACTAATCTTCCTGAAAGTGAGTTCAAAATAAAAATCATAAACAAGCTTATAGAAGTACAGAAAAATATTCAAGAAATCAGGAATGTATTTAGGATGGAGATTCAATCATTAAGAAATTCCATATATGAAATGAAACATACAATGGAGGGATTTAAAAGCAGATTAGATGTAGCAGAAGAGACAGTAAATGGAACAGAAATTAGAGAAGAGGAATAAAAAGAAGCTGAGGCACAGAGAGAAAAAAGAATCTCTAAGAATGAAAGAATATTGAGAGAACTGTGTGACCAATCCAAACAGAATAATATTCGCATTATAGGGGTACCAGAAGAAGAGAAAGAAAAGGGGATACAAAGTGTCTTTGAGGAGGTAATTGCTGAAAACTTCCCCAATCTGGGAAGGAGACAGTCTCTCAGACCATGGACGTGCACAGATCTCCCAACACAAGGGACCCAAGGAAGACAACACCAAGATATAATAATTCAAGTGGGAAAGATCAAGGATAAAGACAAACTTTTGAAGGCAGCTAGAGAGAGTAGAAAGAGAACATGCAAAGGAAAACCTATCAAGCTATCATCAGATTTCTTAACAGAAACCTTATAGGCCAGAAGGGAGTGGCATGATGTATTTAATGAAATGAATTAGAAGGGCCTCAAACCAAGAATACCCTACCTGGCAAGGTTATCATTTAAATTTGAAGGAGGAATTAAACAATTTTAAGATAAGCAAAAGCTGAGAGAATTTACCTCCCACAAACCACCACCACAGTGCATTTTGGTAGGAATCCTACAGATGTAAATATTCTAAAGGCTAAATAGATGTCACCCAAGCGATAAACAAAGAGTAAAGAATATGATTTATAACATACAAAGAATGGTGGAGGAAGAAAAAGGAGGAAAAAAACAAAAAACAAAAAAAAGAACCTTAAGGTTCTGTTTGTAATACCACAGAAAGTGAGTTAAATTAGACTGTTAGATAGTAAGGGAAGTACCCTTGACCTTTTGGTAACCACAAATCTAAAGCCTGCAATGGCAATAACTACATACCTATTGATAACCACCCTTAATGTAAATGGTCTGAAAGCACCAATCAAAAGACATAGAATCACTGAATGGATAAAAAAACAAGACCAATCTATATGCTGCCCACAAGAGACTCACTTCAAACCAAAAGATATACACAGACAGAAAGTGAAGGGATGGAAAAAGATATTTCATGCAAGTAATAGGGAGAAAAAAAACAAGAATTGCATTACTTGTATCAGAAAAAATAGACTTCAAAACAAAGAAAGTAACAAAAGACAAAGGACATTACATAATGATAAAGGAGTCAGACCAACAAGAGGATATAACTATTATCAATATATGTACACCCAACACAAGATCACCTACATATGGGAAACAAATATTAATAGAATTAAAGTGGGAAATAGAATGCAATGCACTCATTTTACAAGACTTCCAACACACCACTCACTCCAAAGGACAGATCAACCAGACAGAAAATAAAGAGACAGAGGCACTGAACAATGTATTAGAACAGATGGACCTAACAGACATCTACAGAACACTCCATCCAAAAGCAACATGATACACATTCTTCTCAAGTGCACATGGAACATTTTCAAGAACAGATCATATACTAGGCCACAAAAAGAACCTCAGTAAATTCAAAAAGACTGAAATTGTACCCTCTTCTCAGATCAAACGTATGAAACTAGAAATAAATTACACAAAGCAAATGAAAAAACCCACAAACACATGGAGATTTAATAACATGCTCCTAAATAATCAATGGATCAATGACCAAACAAAAACAGAGATCAAGGAATAAATGAAAACAAATGACAACAATAATGCAACACTGCCAAATCTGTGGGATGCAGCAAAGGCGGGGCTAAGAGGGAAATAAAATGCAACACAGTCCTACCTCAGGAAAGAAGAACAATCCCAAATGAACAGTGTAAATTCACAATTAATTAAACTAGAAAAGGAAGAACAAATGAGGACCAAAGTCAGTAGAAGGAGGTACATAATAAAAATTAAAGCAGAAATAAATAACATTGAGAAGAATAAAACAATAGAAAGAATCAGTGAAAGCAGTAGATGGTTCTTTGAGTAAATAAACAAAATAGATAAACCCTTAACCAGACTTATCAAGAAAAAAAGAGAGTCTACACAAACAGAACCAGAAATGAGAAAGGAAAAATCACTACAGACACAATAGAAATACAAAGAATTATGAGACAATACTACGAAAAAGTATATGCTAACAAACTGGATAACCTAGAAGAAATGGACAACTTTCTAGAAATATACAACCTTCCAAGGCCAACCCAAGAAGAAACAGAAAATCTGAATAGACCAATTACCAGCAAAGAAATTAAATCGGTAATTAAAAGACCACCTAAGAACAAAACTAACTCCTGGACCAGATGGTTGCACTGCTGAATTTTATCAAACATTTAGTGAAGACCTAATACCCATCCTTCTTAAAGTTTTCCAAAAAGAAGAAGAGGAGGGAACACTCCCAAACTCATTCTACGAGGCCAACATCACCACTCTAATACCAAAACCAGGCAAAGACACCACAAAAATAGCAAATTGTAGACCAATACCCCTGATGAACATAGATGCAACAATACTCAACAAAATATTAGCAAACAGAATTCAAAAATACATCAAAAAGATCATCATCCATCATGATCAAGAGGGATTTATCCCAGAGAAGCAAGGATGGTACATTTGAAAATCCATCAACATCATCCACTACATCAACAAAAAGAACAAAAGCCACATGATCATCTCCATAGATGCTGAAAAAGCATTTGACAAAATTCAACATCCATTCATGATAAAAACTCTCACAAAATGGGTATAGAGGGGAAGTACCTCAACATAATAAAGGCCATATATGACAAGCCCACAGCCAACATTATACTTAACAGTGAGAAGCTGAAAGCTTTTCCTTTAAGATCGGGAACAACACAAGGATGCCCACTCTCCCCACTTTTATTCAACATAGTTCTGGAGGTCCTAGCCCTGGCAATCAGACAGCACAAAGAAATAAAAGGTATCGAGATTGGCAAGGAAGAAGTCCAACTATCCCTGTTTGCAGATGACATGATATTGTACATAAAAAAATCTGAAGAATCTACTCCAAAACTACTAGATCTAATATCTGAATTCAGCAAAGTTGCGGGATACAAAATTAATACACAGAAATCTGTTGCATGCCTAAACACTAATGAAGAACTAGCAGAAAGAGAAATCAGGAAAACAATTCCATTCACAATTGCATCAAAAAGAATAAAATACCTAGGAATAAACCTAACCAAGGAAGTGAAAGACTTGTACCCTGAAAACTTCAAGACACTTATGAGAGAAATGAAATTAGAAACCAATAAATGGAAACACATCCCATGCTCATGGATAGGAAGAATATTGTCAAAATGGTCATCCTGCCTAAAGCAATCTACAGATTCAGTGCAATCCCTATCAAAATACCATCAGCATTCTTCAATGAACTAGAGCAAATAGTTCTAAAATTCATGTGGAACCACAAAAGACCCTGAATAGCCAAAACAATCCTGAGAGGGGAGAATAAAGTGGAGGGAATTACAATCCCTGACTTCAAGATCTGCTACAAAGCTACAGTAATCAAGACAATTTGGTACTGGCACAAGAACAGACCCATAGACCAATGGAACAGACTAGAGAGCCCAGATATTAACCCAAGCACATATAGTCAATTAATATATAATAAAGGAGCCATGGATATACAATGAGGAAATGACAGCCTCTTTAATAACTGGTGTTGGCAAAACTGGACAGCTACATATAAGAGAATGAAACTGGATTATTGTCAAACCCCATACACGACTGTAAACTCAAAATGGATCAAAGACCTTTACGTAAGTCATGAAACCATAAAACTCTTACAAACAAACATAGGCAAAAATCTCTTGGACATAAACATGAGCAACTTCTTCATGGACATATATTCCCGGGCAAGGGAAACAAAAGCAAAAATGAACACGTGGGACTATATCAAGCTGAAAAGCTTCTCTACAGCAAAGGACACCATCAGTAGAACAAGAAGGCATCCTACACTATGGGAGAATATATTCATAAATGACATAACCGATAAGGGGTTGCATCCAAAACATGTAAAGAGCTCACGCACCTCAACAAAGAAAGAGCAAATAAGCCAACTAAAAAATGCGCAGAGGAGCTGAACAGACACTTCTCCAAAAAAGAAATTCAGATGGCCAACAGGCACATGAAAAGATGCTCCACATCACTAATCATCAGAGAAATACAAATTAAAACCACAGTGAGATATCATCTCACACCAGTTAGGATGACCAACATCCAAAAGACAAACAACAAATGTTGGCAAGGATATGGAGAAATGGGAACCCTCCTACACTGCTAGTGGGAATGTAAATTAGTTCAACCATTGTGGAAAGCAGTATGGAGGTTCCTCAAAAAGCTAAAAGTAGAAATACCATTTGACCAAGGAATTCCACTCCTAGGAATTTACCTTAAGAATGCAGGAGGCCAGTTTGAAAAAGACAAGCACCCCTATGTTTACCGCAGCACTATTTACAATAGCCATGAAATGGAAGCAACCTAAGTGTCCATCAGTAGATGACTGAATAAAGAAGATGTGGTACATATACACAATGGAATATTCAGCCTAAGAAGAAAATAAATCCTACCATTTGCAACAACATGGATGGAGCTAGAGGGTATTACGCTCAGTGAAATAAGCCAGGTGGAGAATGACAAGTATCAAAGGATTCCACTCATCTATGGAGTATAAGAACAAAGCAAAAACTGAAGGAACAAAACAGCAGCAGACTCACAGAACCCAAGAATGGACTAACAGTTACCAAAGGGAAAAGGACTGAGGAGGATGGGTGGGAAGAGACAGATAAGGGGGAAAAAGGGGCATTACGATTAGGACACATAATGTAGTGGTGGGGGGGACACGGGAAAGGCAGTATAACACAGAGAAGACAAGTAATGATTCTATAGCATCTTACTATGCTGATGAACAATGACTGTAACAGGGTATGTGGTGGGGACTTGATAAGAGGGGGCGTCTAGTAACCCCAATGGTGTTCAAGTAATTGTACATTAATGATACCAAAATAAATAGATTTCCAAGTTAATGTAAAGTTGTAATATCTGAGTATCTCCTCATTGAACTTCTGCCTTTTTAAAAAACTTAAGTTTGACATTCCATTCAGACCTTCCGGGTGTCACTGAGTTAGAAGCAGCACAAATAATCTACTTCGTAGATTAATAATGTAAAATTATTTGTAAAGTTAATTTTAAATAATGATATAAAATATCTAACTAAATACTTGAAATACATTTCAGAAATCTTGTTTTCACTCAAGAAAATTTCTAATAAATTACAGCAATAGGTCCTAAACAGAACGGCATAACTTAAGTTCAATCACCTCTAAACTAAAATAGGTGGAGTATGTGTTGTCTGTAGATGCACTACACAAGCACATCAGTTCCACTTGCTTTAGAACTCTTGATTTCAAATACTTTCTCAGACAAAACATACAATCAGTTGAAGCTCTCCCCTGCCTTCACTTTCTCTTAAATATGATCGATCCTGTGATCTCTCACAACCTACCATAAATGTCACAGCTTCTAAATAAAAAGTCTACGTCCTACTAGATAAAACGTTCTAAAATTTAAGCCCAGACGACAGAACAAGAGAAAAGACTAACCTGCACTGCCTTCTTGGTTATCAGTTGTTTCTTCATCAGGTCTTTGAATACCTTTTTGTTTTCCCTTTGTGTACATATTAAGATTCCCCTAAAAATGTTTAAATGAAAGCCATTAAAACTTTTAGTATATTTATTTTTTTAAATGCAGTAGAACCTGCCAATCTTGCTTAAAATGAAGATTTTTACAGCTATAAACTCTTACAACTCCAGCAATAACTAGTGACTGATCAAACAAATGCTAAACAATTCAAAAACTTTCAAAATGATAACTAATTTAACCAAAAAATGGATAGGTATTATAGATAAAAGGTTAAACTGGAGATTATTAAATCATCTTATTAACGAAAGAATATATTTACTTCCTCTGTTTTATTAAACATTCCCAAGTCTTCAAGTTTTCTCATTCGCTGTCTACGCATCTTCTTCATGTCGTCCATTTTTTGAAGTACAGCTTCAGCAGTGCTTAAAAGAAATGATATAAATATAACCTGAAGATGTAAGAGTAGTACATGTTTAAAAACTTTTCTTCCACTGTGTTTGTTGAGTGCTGGGATTTCAAATATTTTAAATAAGAGGCATTGATTTACATGTATAAAAGCATTTGAACATTTCATTCCAAAAATTTAAATACATGTAATTATTACAAAGTCCTCTAATAATCATTCGCCTTCACTTTACACAAACTAAATGCATTAAATATTTAGACTAGTCAAAATGATTCCTCCCCTACAAAAATTTTTGGTAGCTAAATCATCCTGACATATAAGAAAATAATTCATACTTACTTTGTTATAAGTTTGTCAAATAGCACAGACTGGTTCACACTGCCATAACGACTTCTAATCCTACAACTTCGGCGAACTTCAACATCACCATTCTCTTCATGCAAGTGTTCTGTAGTTTGAACAATGTCTCTAGTCCTCAGTGATCGAGTAACTGGAATCACTTTGTCTTCATAGATGTATACATTCAAAAGCAAATGGGAAGTTTGAAATAATAGCATTTACAAAACAATTCGAAAATGAACAATAGCTACACTTTCATACAACAAAATTTTAGTAACTTGAACTTACCTTTTTTAAAAAATATTAGAAAACAAAAAGTTACAAAACACACCTGCCATATGATCCAGCCATTTCACTCTCAAGGAAAGATATACAATACACTTGTACACACATGTTCAAAGCAGTTTTTTGACACTTTAAACTGTAAACCCAGATGTCCATCAAAAAATATAAATTGTGGGAAACAACCTAAGAATCCATCAATAGATGAATGGATAAAGAAAATGTGGATGATACACTGAACAGGATACTTTTCAGCCATAAGAAAGGAGTAACACGGATGGATCTTGAGGGCATTATGCTAAGTGAAATAAATCAGACAGAGAAAGACAAAAACTGTTGATGTCACTTATATGTGGATTCTAAAAAAGCTGAAATCATAGAAACAGAGGTTAGAATAGTAGTTACCAAGGACTGGGGGGTGACGGAAAGGTGGAGATGCTGGTCAAAGGACACAAATTTCTAACTATAAGATAAGTAGGTTATGGGGATTTAATGTACAGCACAGCAATTATAATTAATAACACTGCATTATATACTTGAAAGTTGCCAAGAGTAGATCTTAAATGCTGTCACCAAAATAAATGGTTTTTATGTAACATGATGCAGTTGTTAGCTAATGCTATGGTAGTAATCATCTTGCAATATTAAAGTGTACCAAATCAACATTCTCACACAATGTTTTATGACAGTTACATTACAGTAAAGCTTGGGAGGGAAAATTGTAGTATATCCATACAATGGAATACTACTTCGCAACAAAAGGCAACAACATAGATGATATTCAAAGTAACCATGCTAAGAGAAGCCACACAAAAAAGAGTGTATATGTGTAATTCCATTTATGATAAAACTAGAATATGCACTCATCTATAGTGACAGAAAGCAGATCAGTGCTTACTCAAGAATCTTGGAGAGAGTGGAGGACATGGAAAGAAGCTGAGGGAGCCAGGAGGATCATAAAGGGGCCAGAAGAAATTTTGCAGGGTATGGTTATCTTCACTATCTTTGGTGATGGTTTCAGAGCATATACTTATGTCAAAACCAAATAAAATTGTACACTTTAAATTTGGACAGTTTACTGTATGTACTTCAATATACTTGTACATAAAATATGAATTACATGTTTTAAAAATTTGAAATGCCTTTAATATTACTTACCATCTTTGCACTCTTCTTTTTTTGTATTAGCCTGCTGTCTAGCCAACTGCCTATATGGAAAAAAATACTGAATAATTCAAAATAATAGACATAGTTTTAATCCTATTATTTCATTATACTACAAACTAACACAAAAAGTTAAATCAGCTTGGAGAGCAAATACTCAAAGGTATGTAAAAATCATGGAAAAAAATAGCTTGAGAATGTCTACCAAACTCTGAGAATACTGCTGTGAAATTCAATGTTATATTCATGAACTCTGAGCTAAACAGAATTAATCAAATTAAATATTTTACTTAAAACAAAAAATGAAATCCTTAGCCTTAAATACTGAGGTATAACTGAACTAAGCACTGAGCAATAACAAGACAAAGTTTTATACCCGTAGATATAGTAGTACCACACCCAGGAAGAATTTATAACTAAAGACAGAACTAATATCCCCTACTTGATATGTCAAATTTCCTTCTAAGAACATTTGATGGCTACAATCTTTACAAAACTTGGATTATCATTCACATGTAGAGACAGTCTTACTTGTGAAAAAGGTATCCCATCACCTGCAAACTGGCAGACAGAAACTATTGAATTGGAAAGAACACTTTACAAGGCTTTAAAAAAAAAGAAAGAAAAGAAAGAAAGGAAGGAAGGAAGGAAGGAAGGAAGGAAGGAAGGAAGGAAGGAAGGAAGGAAGGAAGGAAGGGAGGAAGGGAGGGAGGGAGGGAGGGAGGGACTCTCCCCTCATCTTTTTTCCAGAATCTGCTGAACAAACAAAACAGGTCTCATTAACTTATTTTAGGGGACCCAACTTCCCATACTTGGATAGCTCTATGTATTAATCAACCTATGTATCAAACCTATTTGAAAGTGCACTGGTTATACACATGGAATTTCAAATGTGACACTTTAAAATCAAATGAAACCATCTTACCCAGAACCCTAAGAGTTAACTTATGTAGCCTTATAACAATGTGAGTCATCATTAATCTCTTACTTCTTTTGGAACACAGGTGAGAACCAAGAAAATAAAAACCTTGAGCAATCCACCTGCAGGTAAATGTCTAGTTTGTTCACAGGCTCAGACTTTTCACATACAGGAAACCATCCCTCCAAACCATGTAGATCTACGCTTTTATAAACTACACCCCTATTAGATGCTAGGGACACAAAGATTAAAGCAGTCTTTTTTTTTTGTTTTGTATTAAGGTATCATTGATACACAATTACTTGAGCAACACTGTGGTTACTAGATTCCCCCCATTAGCAAGTCCCCACCACATAACCCCATTACAGTCACTATCTATCAGCAAAGTAAGATGCTGGTCACTACTTGTCTTCTCTGTGCTACACAGCCTTCCCCGTGCCCCCACTACATGATGTGTGCTAATTATAATGTCCCTTAATTCCCTTATCCCTTCCTCACCCCCCTGAGACCCCCACTGCCACCGTCTTCAGTCTCTTTCCCTTTGGTAACTGTTAGTCCATTCTTGGGTTCTTTAAGTCTGTTGCTGTTTTTTGTTCCTTCAGTTTTTGTTCTTGTACTCCAGATGTGTGAAATCATTTGGTATTTGTCTTTTTCTGCCTGGCTTATTTCACTAAGTGTAATACCCTCTAGCTCCATCCATGTTGTTGCAAATGGTAGGATTTGTTTTCTTCTTATGGCTGAATAATATTCCATTGTGTATATGTACCACATCTTCTTTATCCATTCATCTAGTGATGGACACTTAGCTTGCTTCCATTTCTTGACTATTGTAAATAGTGCTGCGATAAACATAGGGGAGCATATGTCTTTTTGAATTAGGATCCTGCATTCTTAGAGTAAATTCCTAGGAGTGGAACTCATGGGTCCAATGGTATTTTTACTTTTAGTTTTTTGAGGAACCTCCATACTGCTTTCTACAATGGCAGAACTAATTTACATTCCCACCAGCAGTGTAGGAGGGTTTCCCGTTCTTGGTATACTCACCAGCATTTGTTGTTTGTCTTTTGGATGCTGGTCATCCTAACTGGTGTGAGGTGATATCTCACTGTGATTTTAATTTGTAATTCTCTGATGATTAGTGATGTGGAGCATCTTTTCATGTGCCTGTTGGACATTTGAATTTCTTTTTTGGGGAAATGTCTGTTCAGATCCTCTATTTTTTAATCAGGTTATTTGCTTTTTGGTTGTTGAGGCATGTGAGCTCTTCATATATTTTGGATGTCAACTCCTTATCAGATATGTAATTTATGAATATATTCTCCCATAGTGTAGGATGCCTTTTTGTTCTACTGATGGTGTCCTTTGCTGTATAGAAGCTTTTTAGTTTTATATAGTCCCACTTGTTCACTTTTGCTTTTGTTTCCCTTGCCCATGCAGGTATGTTCATGAAAAAGTTGCTCATGATTACATTAAAGGGAATTTTGCCTATATTATCTTCTAAGAGTTTTATGGTTTCATGACTTACATTCAAGTCTTCCATCCATTTTGAATTTACTTCTGTGTATGGGGTTAGACAGTAATCCAGTTTCATTCTCTTACATGTAGCTGTCCAGTTTTGCCAGTATCAGCTGTTGAAGACACTGTCATTTCCCCATTGTACATCCGTGGCTCCTTTATCGTATATTAATTGACCATATAAGCTTGGGTTAATATCTGGACTCGTCTTTGGGTCTGTTCTTGTGCCAGGACCAAAACTGTCTTGATTACTGGGCTTTGTAGTAGAGCTTGAAGTTGGGGAGCATAATCCCCCCTACCTAATTCTTCCTTCTTAGGATTACTTTGGTTATTCAGGGTCTTCCGTGGTTCTGTATGAATTCTAGAACTATTTATTCCAGTCTGTGGAAGAATACTGTCAGTATTTTGATAGGGATTGCACTGAATCTGTAGATTGCTTTAGGCAGGATGGTCATTTTGACAATATTAATTCTTCCTACCCAAGAGCATGGAATGAATTTCCATTTATTAGTGTCCTCTTTAATTTCTCTCAAGAGTGTCTTGATATTTTCAGAATATAGATCTTTCACTTCCTTGGTTAGGTTTATTTCTAAGTTTGTTTGTTTTTTTGATAGAATTGTGAATGGAATTATTTTCCTGATTTCTCTTTCTGCTAGTTCATCATTCGTGTATAGGAATGCAACAGACTTCTGTGTATTTATTTTGTATCCGGCAACACTGCTTAATTCAGGTATTAGATCTAGTAGTTTTAGAGCGGATTTAGGGTTTTTTATGTACAATATCATGTCACCTGCAAACAGAGACAGTTTAACTTCTTCCTTACCAATCTGGTTGTCTTTTTTTTCTTTGTGTTGTCTGATTGCCATGGCTAGGACCTCCAGTACTATGGTGAATAAAAGCAGGGAGAAAGGGCATAATTGTCTTGTTCCTGATCTTAAAGGAAAAGCTTTCAGCTTTTCATTGTTAAGTATGATGTTGGCTGTGGGTTTGTCATATATGGCCTTTATTATGTTAAGAGTTTTTGTCATGAATGGGTGCTGAATTTTGTCAAATGCTTTTCCAGCATCTATGGAGATGATTATGTGATTTTTGTCCTTTTTATTGATATTGTGGATGATGTTGATGGATTTTCAAATGTAGTACCATTCTTCCATTCCTGGGATGAATCCCAGTTGATCATAGTGTACGATCCTCTTGTATTTTTGAATTCGGTTTGCTAATATTCTGTTGAGTATTTCTGCATCTGTGTTCATCAGGGATATAGGTCTGTAGTTTTCTTTTTTTGTGGTGTCTTTGCCTGGTTTTGCTATTAGAGTGATGCTAGCTTCATAGAATGAGTTTGGAAGTATTCCCTCCTCTTCTATTTTTTGGAAAACTTTAAGGAGAATGGGTATTATGTCTTCTCTAAATATCTGATAAAATTCAGCAGTAAAGCCATTTTGTCTGGGCGTTTTGTTCTTGGGTAGTTATTTGATTACCAATTCAATTTCATTGCTGGTAATTCATCTGTTTGGATTTTCTGTTTCTTCCTGGGTCAGTCTTGGAAGGTTGTATTTTCTTAGAAAGTTGTCCATTTCTTCTAAGTTATCCAGTTTGTTAGCATATAATTTTTCACAGTATTCTCTAACAAATCTTTGTATTTCTGTGGTGTCTGTAGTGATTTTTTCTTTCTCATTTCTGATTCTGTTTATGTGTGTAGATTCTCTTTTTTTCTTGGTAAGTCTGGCTAGTGGTTTATTTATTTTATTTATTTTCTCAAAGAACTAGTTCCTGGTTTCATTGTTTTCTATTGTTTTATACTTCTCAATTTTATTTATTTCTTCTCTGATCTTTATTATGTCCCTACTTCTACTGACTTTGGGACTCATTTGTTTCTTCTCTTTCCAGATTCAACAACTGAATTTAAACTGTTCATTTGGGATTATTCTTCCTTCTTTAAATAGGTCTTGATTGCTATATACTTTCCTTAGAACTGCCTTTGCTGCATCCCACAGAAGTTGGTGCATTGCGCTGTTTTCATTTGTCTCCATATACTGCTTGATCTGTTTTAATTTGGTCATTGATCCATTGATTATTTAGGAGCATGTTGTTAAGCCTCCATGTTTGTGAGCCTTTTTGTTTTCTTTGTACAATTTGTTTCTAGTTTTATACCTTTGTGATCTGAGAAGTTCGTTGGTAGAATTGCAATCTTTTTAAATTTGCTGAGGCTCTTTTTGTGACCTAGTATGTGGTCTATTCTGGAAAATGTTTTCATGTGCACTTGGAAAGAATGTGTATCCTGCTGCTTTGGGATACAGTGTTCTGTAGATGTCTGTTAGGGCCATCTGTTCTAATATGTTGTTCAGTACCTCTGTCTCCTTACTTATTTTCTGTCTGGTGGATCTGTCCCTTGGAGTGGTGTGTTGAAGTCTCCTAAAATGAATGCATTGCATTCTATTTTCCCCTTTAATTCTGTTAGTATTTGTTTCACATATTTAGGTGCTCCTGTGTTGGGTGCATAGATATTTATAATAGTTATATCCTCTTGTTGGACTGACCCCTTTATCATTATGTAATGGCCTTCTTTGTCTCTTGTACTGTTTTGAAGTCTATTTTCTCTGAGACAGGTACTGCAACACCTTCTTTTTTTCTCCCTACTGTTTGCATGAGATATTTTTTTCCACCCCTTCACTTTTAGTCTATACATGTCTTTGGGTTTGAAGTGCATCTCTTGTCGGCAGCATATAGATGGGTCTTGCTTTTTTATCTAGTCTGTAACTCTTGTGTCTTTTGATTGGTGCATTCCATCCATTCACATTTGGGGTGATTATCGATAGATATGTACTTATTGCCATTGCAGGCTTTGCATTCGTGGTTACCAAAGGTTCAAGGGCAGCTTCGTTATCATCTAGCAGTCTACCTTAACTCACTTATTATGCTATTATAAAGACAGTCTGATTATTCTTTTTTCTCTCCTTTTTCTTCTTCCTCAACTATTTATATGTTAGGTTTCATATTTGGTACTCTTTGTGCATCCCTTGACTTTGTGGGTAGCTGATTTAATTTTGCATTTGGTTAGTATTTAGTTGGTCTACTTCCTTTGCTGAGGTTTTATTTTCTCAAGTGACACCATTTTTGTCTTAGGCACACTTCCATCTAGAGCAGTCCCTTTAAAATACACTGTAGAGATGTAGGAGGTAAATTCCCTCATGTTTGCTTATCTGGGAATTGTTTAATCCTCCTTCAAATTTAAATGATAATCTTTGTGGGTAGAGTATTCTTGGTTCGAGTCCCTTCTGTTTCATTGAATTGAATATATCATTCCACTCCCTTCTTGCCTGTAATGTTTTTGCTGAGAAGTCTGATGACAGCTTGTGTGTTTTCCATTGTAGGTGATCTTTTATCTCTCTCTGGCTGCCTTTAATACTCTCTTCTTGTCCTTGATCTTTGCCATTTTAATTATTATATGTCTTGGTGTTGTCCTCCTTCGGTCCCTTGTGTTGGGAGATCTGTGTGCTTCCACGGCCTGGGAGACTACTTCCTTCCCCAGACTGGAAGTTTTTAGCAATTATTTCTTCAAGGACACTTTCTATATCTTTTCTCCCTAGAAAACTGCATACACACATATAAGTTTAAGCATTATTTCAGAGGTTTCATGTGCCCCTGAAAACCAAAGGACCTAAGAAATATAGATCTTGACCTCAAGGCCTGACAATTACTCAAATCTTTCTGTATTATTCCAACAGTCTTGGTCCCCTGGTCTTTGAGTCCTAAACAGATTGAAAACAAAGGGGAGGAAACACAGAAAGGAAATAAAGAGATTAGTACAGTTAGATAAACTGGCAACAGCAAAAGGGGAACCCTTATAAGGACCAGGAAAATTACATACAGCAGAATTTAAAAACACTGTAGGCCTTTATACAGTCTTACACAAACAGATCCTGATGCCATGGCTGTGTATAATAGTCTTTGTAATAATGATCTGAATACAGATTTTTCTTTTTAAGACAGGAATTCTTCTCCAAAGAAGACAGACTAAGGGCTAATAAACCCAAGAAAAGATATCCAACGCTACTGACCATCAAGGAAACGCAAATGAGAACTATAACGAATACTTCACACCCACTAAATGGCTAAAATAAAAAAGACACACTATGACAAGTGCTGACAGGATGTAGAACAAATTCAATTGTCATACACTGCTGGTGGGAATGCAAAATCATACAGCTGCTTTGGGCAATAGTTTGGCAGTTCTTCAACATTAAAACTGAGTTACCAACTGACCCAGCAATTCACTCCTAGATACATACCCGAAAAAAAACCTCTAATGTTCACACAAAGAGCTGTGCACCAATATTCATAGCATTATTCATAATAGCCAAAAAGTAGAACCAATCAAATGTCCATCAACTGATAACCAGAGAAGCAAAATGTGATATATCTATAAGCTGGAATCTCACTTGGCAAAGAATGAAGTGCTGACAGAAAATTACAGTACAGATGAACCTTCAAAACATTATACCAGGTGAAAGAAGCCAAATACAAAAGGTCATATAAGGTATGATTCCACTTACAGAAAGATTAATAGTTCCCAAGGGGCTAGAATAGGGGGCAGAGATAATGGGCACAGCGTTTCTTTTTGGGGTAATGGAAATGTTCTGAAATTAGATAGTAGCGATGGTTGCACAATGTTGTGGATATTCTAAAACCAATGAATTATATACTTTAAATGTATTATTAACAGTATGTCAATTATATCTCAATGAAGTTATTTAAAATACTTTTAACAAAAAAGATAGGAATTCAATATATTTTAGAAGGATTCAAGTTTAAAAATACCAAGTCACACATCTTTAAATCCAGGTTAAAAAAAAAAACCACTCATACACCTTTAATACCTTTTGAGCTTAAGGCCCAGCACATGTTTCAAACACATGAATATACAGATCCTTTTAAAGGTAAAGACTTAAAGGACTTCCAACATTTTTTTTTATAAATTATGTACAAGCCAAACTAGGTGTAAATTCATTCACATTTTACACAAATAAAACTACAGAACCACCCAACAACAAAAACATCAACATTATAGGAGGTTTGCTGAAAAAAAAAAAATAGTCATCTGCTGTTTGAATGTAGTATAGACTACTATGGGTCTCTCTTGAGTTTGGCATGTTATGTATCATGTTTGTTGTGTATCATGATGACTCAATTTATCCACTTCTCTTTATCTGAAGTGCTCCAAACCTGCATGTGAGCAGCACGTCAGGACATCACATCACATGGCTTTCTCTTGGAAGCAGACCATAGTTTATGTATTAAGGGCAGACTCAGTTCTTATGAACCCAAACAGCTAAAGCAATTTAAACGTAAACATAAATCTAGGGACTGAAATTTTGTGACTATTCTATATAAGGAGGCAATTTGGATGACTCAAAATGTTTATTTTTGTTTCAGGTCATGAAATAAATATTACAATTCTCATAGAGAACTCATGGGTCACTTCCCAAGCCCCAAGGAAAATTAAAGTTTCAAAAATACTATGGTACCTAGAATTATATTCATTGATTCTAAAAGTTGTACATTTCCCCCCATTTTAATAGGTCTGAAATAAGGATGTTCTTAAAATTGATGGCATGTCATAGTTTAACTTTAAGTTTGTTTTTCTTTTTTACTCTCATAAAATATGTATGTTTCAATTGCTGCTATCCTGGATTACACGGAATACAGTATTAAATACTCCATAAAGAATGGATTAAATAAGATACAAATTAAAAAATATATAAAACAGACTGATTAAATAACTGAAAAAAAAGTAACAGTAGCAAAAGACAAACTTAAAAAGGGTACAACTTCACTTACCTGGAAAATCTACTACACAAATAAGAATCAGAATTCTATTTTAGTATAGTTCTAGTCTTCTAAGTCATAATTATGAGTAATTTCTTTATGAGAGGAATTAATTTATAAAACAATTATTTCATCAAATTTTACTTTAATTGGCACTTTTCCCCATTTATGTTAGGCCCACCAAAGTGGAGGGAAAATGAAGGTTTTTGAGTTAAAGATGGATTTAAATCTGCCCAGAACAAATCCAAGTTTCAGAAACTACCCAACTACCTAATTCACTGAAACTAATTCCTTGAGTATTATAATCAGATTCATGCCACTTATCTCAGAGTTCTTGAGAAATGCAATTTTAATATGTACATTGAACAAGTCAAAAAACATTTTAAGAAATCATGTTCTGCCTATGTAAAGACTGCTTTAGAAGCACACCAACAGAAAGAAACTCACATATGACTCAGAACTGATGAAAAACTTGATAGCAAGCAATAAGAAATATAACTACTATTTTGAGTAATGGATTTGTATCGACTATAAAGCAGAACCATGTATCATAAGCAAGTGAGTCACAAAAATCTCTTTAGATACTCAAGCACTTAAGAGAACTGATTTCAGATGCACTCACACATATCACAAATTCCATCTTTGAACAAGAAAATAAAAACAAATCTGACCATGTTCATATTAAAATTTTAATTCAATATTCATTTGTCGCAATTTCATTTCAAATAAATTACATTTTACAACCCTGGAATCTTGAAGACCAGTTGAGAAAACACTTAAAGGTTAAATCCAAATCCTAAATTATTACTTTAAAAACTATTTTGAATTAGCATTCAACCTTCTTGCATTACCTTGTAAAATGCCTGCCATTAGCATGTTTCTCCGTTATTTCCATATTTTTATCAAAACTAGAATCTGAAGAATTCTGTGCATTTTTTCTCAAAGATCTTGAAGCACGCGTCTGATGGTAGGTTTTGGCTTCCTTAACTGAAGACCCAGCCTTTAAGAAAAATCAAGAGAGCCATCTAAGTTTTTCTCTAGTCAAAATCCTGAAGTTAAACTCTTAAGAGTTTTCTCTCACTACATGTTCATTAAAAACTGCTTTTTTGGGCAGAATCATTTTGCATCTCCCTAAGAAACAAGTGTTAATATCTAGAATAATAATAATTTTGATAAACAAATATCAGCAATGTCTATGAAATGGCTAATATAAGATTCATTAATGGTTTGTAGTTCTAATCCATAATAAGCAAATTACATAGTAAAGTTTTCCACACTGATAAAAAGCTGTAATAGTTCCTAGCATTAAATACCCCTTTATTTTAAAGCTACAGAAATTAGAAAGATACATACATCATTGTCTGCCATGTAACTACTAGCAGTAACCTTAAAATAACTGAACTATATCAAAATTGTAATTTTGGCTTAAATGACAAAAAGGAATCACTACCATCTATTTCACATAGTTTCACCCAGAAAATACAGCAATTGAATTAAAACTGTTTAGGTATGTTAATCGGTCATAAAAACCACAATTCTCTGTAATTTAATTTTTGTTCAACAGCCTAGAGGTTCTCTCAGTTAGTGCGCTACTTCGTGAGCGACAGAGTTTCCCTCATAAAGTATTCAAAAGTTCATACACACCTCTCTGAAATTGTATAAAGGCTACTTATACATTAGAAGAGAAGGCAAAAGTACCTAGCAACTCTGTAATTCTATTCCTTACTACTCTGAAAGTTGAAAATTATAGAAAAATAGGCAGTGTTTTAAAAACACCAAGCAAGAGTTTCCCTGTGCCTTGCACACTGGTTTTACCGGGTCATTTCATTTTATTAGGACATTGTATCATTTAATTTTGTTCTAGGAAGACTATTTGACTAGTTCACAAGTAAAATAAGGATATTTATATCAAGGATTTGTGTAAAAATTAGACAAGTACTTCATAAGACATTAAGTGGTATGTATGATTTGTTACTACTTTTATAAGTGTACCTATATTTAAGAATGTTTGAAAAAGAATACCTCCACTTTAGGTAGGTGTATTATTTTTTAGATGAACACCTACATCTTAGAAGGGTGCAGTATGACAAAACTTTGCAAGGAGAATTTTAAGGGTATCTATTTCCATATTCTCAACTTTTCATATGTACTTTTTCTTAAAACTAATCTGAGGAGACATCTTACAAGGTATCCTCTTTTCTTTTCCCATTTTATAAAGGAAAAGTTATCTCTCTCTCTCTGATTCTTATTTTTGAATGGACCACCTCATGGCATTAAAAACCTTCCTAAAGTCAAAGAAAGAAAAACATTAGTGTAGGTGTTAAGAAATTGAAAGACAAAGCTAGGCAACAAATCTTTATTAGGTTGTTTCCAATTCTTTGTATTCAATAAAATTGAAAGGAGATTTAATCAATCTGAAAGACCATGAAAAATAATTTTTGGCAAGTGATTTTTCAGCATTTAAGACAGAAAAGCTAAGTGTCAGTCAAACAAAACTTGTTACTATCTACTTACATGTATGTTTCTCAGTGCCTTCTATAAAACAATAGAACTATGTCAAACATTGTCTTCAGAAGTAAGTAAGATTCATCCACAGATAATATGAACTAACTGGGTGGGTAAATGGACTTCAACCACATGAAATCCTGATGAAACCGTACTTTCCTTGTTTAATCACTTTTAATCAAGATAGATGTTTTTGTTGTTTTGATCAATAGTAATAATTACAGAAATTCAATACACAAAAATTTCATTTCCTAGGGCCTTGTGTTCACAGAAAAATGGAAAGATTTGTAAGTATGAAAGGATAACTAGTAAATGACTTCCAAGCATAAAAACAGATCAAGATAAAATGCTGTGGGTTAAGTGGATTCGAAGCTTACTTAGAGGGAAAAAAAAAATCAAGGAAAAATTTGACTGCTAAAAGAGCTTGTTTGTATACTATTTTTTAATGTTCCAATCAGGTATAAAATAACTATGGCTTTTAGGTTCCAGTGGATATAAAAGTCTGATGTAATAGTTTTATTTTTTATCATTATCATTAAAACATGATAGAAATTATCTCCTTTGTAAACCAATGGGAGTGAATGAACCTTAGACGGCAGCCTAAAAATGTACAAGAGACCATGGAGCTGAAAATTTTAGGAATTCTTAGGCGGAAACTTTCATGACACTGGATTTGGCAAAGATTTCTTAGAAATAATCCCAAAAGCACAAGACAACAGGAAAAAAATAGGTAAGCTGGACTTTGTACAAATTAGAAACTTTCATACAAAGGACATGATCAACAGAGTGAAATGAAAAGCCATAGAATAGGAAAACTTATTTCTAAATCAAGTATCTTACAAAGGATTGATATCCATAATATATAAAGAATTCCTATGTTTTAGCAACAAAAAGCAAAGTTAAAATGGGCAAAAGACATGGATAGACGTTTCTCCAAAGAATATATACAAATGGTTGATAAACACATGAAAAGATGTTCAATGCATCTAGTTACAGGGAAATACAAATCAAACCAACAATGAGATGCCACTTCACCTCATTAGATGGCTGTTATATGAAAGAAAAAATAGGTGTTGGAAGGATGTTGAGAAATTGAAATCCTTGTGCACTGCTGGTGGGAATGTAAAATGGTACAGCCACTGTGGAAAGTGATATGGCAATTTCTCAAAAAATTAAACATAGAATTACCATATAATCCAGCAATCCTATTTCTGAGTATAAACTCAGAAGAAGTGAATGCAGGGACCTGAACAAATACCTACTCATAGCAGCATTATTCACTATAGCCAAAAGTTGGAAGCAGTCCAAGTGTTCACTGACAGATGAATGGATTAAAAAATATGGTACATATGATGGAGTATTAGTTAGCCTTAAAAAGGAAGGAAATTTTAACACATTGATACAACATGGATGAACCTGAAGACACTATGCTAAGTAAAATAAGGCAGATTAAAAGGGCAAATATTGCATATATCCTCTTATTGTATATTTCCTCCTTTTGAAGCTCTCAGAATAGTCAAATTCATAGAAAAAATGGTTGTTGCTAGGGGATAGGAGAAAGGAAGAATGTAAGAATGTGGAGTTAGTGTTTAATGGATATAGAGTTCCAGTTTTAGAAGACAAAAATATTCTGGAGACAGTGATGGTTGCAGAGCAATGTGAATGTACTTTTTGCTGCAGAACTGTACACCTAAAAATGGCTAAAATGGTAAATTTTGTTATCTATATTTTATCATAATAAAATACAGTAAATGTTAATATTCCTGGGGATAATAAAACCAAAGTCCCATTTGTTTCCATAGAAGAAAAAAAGGAGGGGGATGCTAAATAATAGAAAAAAATAATTCCCTGACATCTTATAAGTGTTATAAGTGAATTTTGGCTTACATTAACTCACATAATGAGTGGCTTTGTTCATTCTCCCTAAATAAGCAGTAGACATCAAGAAAGGCTCTCCGTTACAGTGGGGAGAATCACCTATATAGAAGTACATACCAAGGAATTAAAAAATACCAACAACTTTCAAAAATGTTTCTTAAAAAAAAAAAAAAAAAAAAAATATA